TTTAATTTTAGCAGGTGAGGCCCACCGAGTTGTATTGGTATTTTTCAGAAGCAACCTCACCACGAATGATAGATCACCGAAGTGGCTTATCACGTGGAAATGAATAGAGCCAAATACTCAAAATGCGTGATGTTGATTCTAAATGTGGAGGGGAAAACCGGAGGACTCGGAGAAAAATTCACGCAACCACGGGGAGAGAGAGACACGCACCGTGGATCTCTACGGTCGACAAAACTACCGCTCACTCGTCGGGGAAGGCAACAGTGGTTGTCCTATGAAAAGACTTGCCCCCCCCCCCCCATCATAGGAATGTGGAATTTCCATCATTGGTTCAGGGTTGTGAACAAGAGATGGGCACCACCTCATCGATGCTCTTTTGAGGAAGTAAAATCACTTAAACTTTTAACTTTGACGAGATCTGGACGGGCAGATTGTAAATGCTTGCTGATGCAGGAGATCTCTGGAACTATTAAGAGAGAAATATAATTGGAACAATGCAGGTGTGAGAGATGTGGACCGGCCATTGCCAGAGAAGGAGGCTTCCCTGCTGCAGGCAGCTCTGGAGAGGAGGATGCTTGCGGATGCACCGTGGCGCTCCGCTCTCAAAGGTCACTGACATTTTTCACTGCGACAATGCTCATCGCTGCCCAGAAATTAGTCACAAGTGGCTCCTTTGGAAAGTGTTTTTGTATTCTCCTGCTGCCAGCTCACCGCAGGCTCCCACACGCAGCAGGCCACACCATAGCCACCTTCACCACCGTCAGCACAAGTACCACCACAGCCACCGCAAGTACCACCACAGCCACCGCAAGTACCACCACCGCCGCCACTACCACCATCACCACAACCATCACCACCATCATCATCATCGCGATCACAAGAACTGCTGAAGACACCGCTGCCACCACGGCCACTGCAACCACCCGCACCGCAACCACCACTGTCAGCCACACCACCACTGTCGCCACCACCGGAACCACCGTAATCACCACCGCCAACACCAGCAGCAGCAGCACTCCCACCGGTGGCTGTGGCGCCAATCGCGATGGTGTTGGGGGCGTGAAGAGCGTGGGTTGAGTTCGCACACTGGCGCCACGAACCTCGCGGACCACGGTTTGACTCCCAGCTCGTGACGCGCTCTCCATTCTAGTTTCACTGCGCAGCCGACATCCACGGCAAGGTGACAATCCAGAGCCCCTAGGTCGACTCGGTCTCATCACGATTACCTGGCTGGGGCTGCTTGGGGGTATACAACACCGTGCAGCGCTGGTGAGACAAAGGCAAGCTGGCTGCTGTGGGGGGTCGGTGGTGGTGGTGGTGGCCTCACGCACGTACCACTGTCGTGTGCCAGGACGCCTGCCCGACTTCGCAAGTGCTCGAGAACAGCACTTTCCCCGGCAGCCCGTTACCACTGCGTGGTTGGTGTGGGGTTGGGGGGGAGGGCGAGAGGGTGTGGGGGCAAGCTCTGTCTCTTGGTGTCGTGGACGTGGCCGTGTTGAGGAGGAGGGATGGAGGTGCCCCTCACGGTGATGTGTGACAGGAGGTGTTGAGGAGGTGAGAAGGGGGTACGACGGCCCGTGGTGGTGGTGGTGCCTAAGTGGTGGTCGCAGGTGGCGGTGATGGGTGTGGTGTGGTTGTTCACGGTGGTGGTAGTGTCAGGGTTTTGGTAGTGGTGCCGGTGTTTGTAAGGTGGTGTTAATGCTGAATGTGGCAGGGGTGGTGGTAGCGGTGTTAGTAGGAGCGGTAGTGTCGTGGTTAGCGCACTGCGCTACCAACCCAGCACCCGGGATCGGTTCTCCCACTCACGGCCAACAACGCTACAAATATGAACTGGTATTGGGCCTCCCCTAGCTTGACTCAACCTTAAACGAGTACCTGGTGCGGTGTGTATTAAACATCAGCGCTGGGGAGACAAAGGTGACCGAGTCTGGTGCTGGTCACCCATCTCGTTGTCTTCCGTGCCGGCCTTCATAGGCGCTACCCGCTCTCAGCACTTGCTACAACACTATGTCAAAGGCTATACAGCGTTTCTTTGCCTTTGTTAATCGAGTAGTGCTGGTTTTTGGCACACTCGGGGGAAACAACTTGCGTCTTGGGAAAGTGATTGTTGCTTTGTGGTGCATTGCTCAGAGCGTGGACTGGCAATCATTCCCATCGATCAATGGCATCACGATGCCCCTATGACAAGATCGTCAGGAGTGTGCCCGTTCTCATTAGATCCTGGAAGCAAAGAAGGCTTGAGGCTGGATGGTCGATTGAACGAGTGAGCACCACGCAAGCACACACAGGTTAACCATGGGGCCGTCGGAGATTCCGATGCGATTAGAGCCGAGGGAGTTGCAGCGAAAGCCAATGTTGTACTATACTTCTGTGCTTCCCACGTCTCTGCTCACCAGCTTCACTCTTGGTCATTCGGACGACAATATCTCAGACGTACGACTCGCGCAGCCGCCCCCAAAAGGACCCTAAAATCCAGCAGTGGATTTAATCGACAAAAGGGGCCGCGTGCACACGTGGGGAGTAGTCTGCGATCATCACGGAGGCGTACGAGGATGATGATGATGATGATGCTGGACCAATAACGATAGCATGGGTTTAAAGACGTCCGTCACCCACCCCCCCTATACCCCCCCTAGCCACCACCACCCACACCCCCAGCCCTGTCCACCCACCCCTCCACACAGACCCCTCGCGCATGACGGACCCCGGTGGTTGATGGGTGGAGACGCAGTCAAAGAGAAAGGCGTTTGCTCAGCTGTGTGGACCCCTGTGCGGCGCATGGCTCACACCGGGGGACGAGGGTGGGGGGTGAGGTGGGGGTAGAGGGGGGTAGAGGGGGGGTGAGGGGGTAGAGGGGGGATGAGGGGGGGTAACATTATTACACAAATTGCCCGATGGTGACACATTTCCTATTCTCGCTTTGCCGTTGACAAATCGCGTCGGTGAAACGAATCTCTTTAGAGGGCCAAAAAGTCGAACCGTCCATGAGAACACTATCGCCCTCAGTGTCGCCGCGTGTGTCTCTGTGTTGATCGTCACGTCTCTGGACAGCCACGTGAGCGAGATACGGCCACGTTGGTATGGCTTTGTAACCATCGCAGTCTCATCCTTCTACAGCGCCGTATGATTATTATAAGACGCTGCGGAGAGGAAGACGCAACCCACCCGAACTTTCGCACGGTGCCAGTAACAGTTAAACAAAGACACAAAGATCTCCCATATAGCCTTAACAGACTGTAGGGGCAAGTGCTGTTAGCGAGCACCTCTGAAGACCGGCACGGCACACGATGGGAGTGGGTGGCCAACACCACGCCCGGCCGCCTTTGTCTCCCTAGTGGCGATGTTTACACATCGCACCAGGTACTCATTTGAGGCCGAGTCGACCTAGGGGAGGCTCACTACCAGTTCAGATAATCGTCACTGGTGTTGGCAGTGAGCGGGAATCGAACCCGGGTCGTCAGGTTCGTAGCGCAGCGTAGCGCTAACCGCTGCACCACCGCTTCTCCCAGTTAAACAAACCTTGCCAGACACACAGCACCCACCGGAGTATAAGACGCAGCACAGACTTCTCTCCTTATACATACTGGGGGCGTGATGTGCATATCGTAAAATCTGGAGATTTTGTTTGATTTTAAGATCACGGGATGGGGAACGACTGTTGACCCTCTCGCGGATGACGGAGCCAGCAACACGCGCCGCCAATCTCGATGCTCGATCAACGTCGCACGCACCACAATCGATGACACTCATCGAGTAGCCGACTCGCCGTCATGATGCTCGGAGTGCTACCAGAGATTGGCTGCGGTGGGGGGAGGGGAGGGTGATCATTGGGGGGGGATTAAGTGGGGGTGGTGTTGGCTTGAGTTGGGGGCGGGATGTGGGGGTAGGGTTAAGGGAGTGGGGGATTGAGTGGGGGATAAGTGGGCATGGGGTGTGGGTGTTGGGTGAGGGGGGAGAGAGTGGCGAGGTGTGGGGGTGAGGGGAGGAGGTTGTGGGGGTTTTACTGGAGGGGGAGGGGAGTGCAGCGGGGTGAGGGGCTTTGGGGTTGTCGGTGGAGGGTGGAGTTCGATTGTCGGGGGGGGGGGAGTGGTGCCCCCCGCTGCTGAGCAGCCGAGCGAAGCTGCCCCCCACCACAGCGCCATCTGCCCCCCGTCCGCCCCCTCCATCACGGTGGTGACGTCGAGAGAAATCCGTGGAAGTTCGCTTCTCTGAAACCTCGCAGCCCGATAGTACGGCCGCTCCGTTACACAGCAGCAGGTGGACATGCCACTTGTGTTTCCTGTCCAGCATTAGTTGTTGTGACTTCATCGGGTGGACGCAGCGATTCACAAAACTCACGAGCGTATAAAGCCGGCGATCACAGTTCGATTCCGGACCACGGCTACCATCAGTGGCGAGTGATATCTGAACCGATGAAAACTCTCAACCACACTGGTGCGGAGAAGCCTTTCCATACACCGGTGGATTGACATTGGTGCTGAAAGTGGAAGTTACTTCATAAAATTGATGTATTATATATTAGACACTTTCCAGTAAGGCCAAAGTCGAAAGGTCGCTTTTATTTTAATTTTCATGCCTCAATTGTTGACGGAGTGTTTATATTGTCCACCACTGCTGTTCCATCTGTATGAGATCGAGTGTTGCCCCTTCGCACGCATGAGTTTTCTCTGGGTGCTCCGGGTTCCTCCCGCGTGTAACCACTCGTTCATTGGCCGATAACACCTTAAAATATATGAAAAGGACCGCAGAGCTTGGGGGGGACATTTGGCGTCTGCTCCCCACGTGGCTGCCTTCCCGTTTGTGGTTCCTCCTATCGCCTCCTCCGAGTCATTATCTCTCAACGAGATTGCGGCGTATTCCAAGTTGACATCGTTAGAGTATGACATTATTATAGGGCTGCACATACGTGTGGGCAGTTGTGTTACTGTGCGTGCAGTGTCGATGCAGGCAGTCGCCTGTTTGTCTCATCCACAACAATATAAACACAATATTCCACAAACTGTCCTTCCATGTATTTCTTTTATATTAAACAAACACATTAATAAAATATAATTTCACGACATTCAATAAAAAATAGCATTATACAAAAATAGTATTTATAATAACAGGCGTATCAAAAAACAACGCGTATTTACATAGGAAATTGCATTTCTTGGTCCAGTAGAACACAGATTCACCTCATATTGCAAACACGAAACATTCGTGATCCGAGCGTAAGTCACGGGGCCAGTGCGAGACTCAGTGGAACTCGTTTCTAGGCCTAGCCTCGTGCCAGGCAAGGCCCGCGCCTGGCGCGTGGCTCGCGAGCCTAAACCTCCCCCCATTGGGCGAACGCGTCCCGAAAACACGCCGCGTCATCCAATCACATTCGCTCACAGCGCTCATGGTGATTGCTGAGGATGCGGGCTGATCCATTTATAGATACCCTACGCAAATGTAATGAAATGCTTTGTTCGCAACAGGTGACTGAATGTTGTGTGAAAGTGATGGCTCCGCCTCTTACAGAGAGGAGCAGCGACGGATTTAGAAACCTCCCAGGGCGGGGTGGATAGAGGGGCGGGGGGGGGTTATGAAATCCATAGGGTTTTTTTTGTTCAAACAGGGCCCCATGTTAATAAAACAATCTCATCGAGATATGTGAAGGAGATATATTGCCTACTAATCTATGGTGTTGCTGAGAATGAGGGAAGACGCGAAGAGCCTTTAAATGAATGTTCTGACCTTTTTTGTATTTCCCCCCAGATAATTTTAATAGGATATCTATACATGGATCACCTCCTACAACCTCTAGTTATATAAAGGTCTCGTACAACTCGATACACACACACAAGGCACGTAGTTTATGAGCTCGCATTGCATGGTTGTGATTATATGGTTTGGGAAACTGTGTCCATGCCCTTTGGTGACAGTGATTTAATACACGTGCTCACAATTTATAGAATAAGATTACTTAACACGATATATAAATTGCAATCATCGTCAAACAGCATCAGTCAAAGCAATGAGCCACGGTCGATTCACTGCTATATGAAGGCCTCCTCCCGTCAATCTTGCGACGTGATCAGCGATCCGTCCCGTGCTGCCACGCGAGGCCGATTTCGCGCGGTAGCCCCGACGGAGGTGAACATCTCTCTCCGGGGAGACGGAACGGTGATATCTAAACACACGGAGGGGAACATCTCTCTCCGGGGAGACGGAACGGTGAAATCAGCTCGTGCCTTGGGTGCGAGGATGGAGACGGCGCCTTTGCTTGGGGACGTAGTCATCCAGCAGTGGATCGATCGTGGCTAATTATTTACGATGACTCGTGCTGTATTTTGGTTCGTCGAAGCAGCATTGTTTCACGGCGATCATCGAACAAAAGTGTGATTTTTTTAAATTCCACGGTGAAAGCGATCTTAAGCAGCTCCGGCAGTTACTCGGCAATTACCACGTCGCTATTCCTGCATTGTTTTGGCAACGTAAGGCATCGGCACACACTCACGAGAGTGGCCCTGTTTAAAACAACAAAAATGACATTGTCGAGATCCCGCGGTGATAATTACTGAAGGCAACCTACGCTGGAGGAGGGACCACAGACGAGTAGCGGGGAAGGCAACAAGGTGTATTGGCCAAATAATGATTGTTCTAGAATTATGTAGGCGGCTACATAATTATATAATGCACCCAACTCGATTCACTCACCTCACCTATTGAATCCCCTTCCCCTTCGCACACCAAGCGGCTATGACATGGCCTAGAAGTGGCGCTGGTGCGTTTGCTGTCGCAGAGGCTCGCGTTTCGAAACCAGCGGCCGCCCTGGCTAATACTGCCGTGTGTGGTCCATTAAGCTTTAAAATACCACGCGCCGTCGATTTTGGCTGCGGACGTAAAAGATCCCGTGACGTCTTTCGCGAGAGTAGGCCATTGTGTGCCAGCGTCAGGGTCCACATTGGCGAAGTTCAAAAATGATCCGCAAATGACTCGATTGGCATTATACACACAAACACACAACAGCAGCAACCATCTCCCCTTAGTGGCAGCAGGCTAATGTCACTATTGCAAACGAGGCTCGTCCTGGTCTCTAAGAGTTATCTCCGGGGTTAACCAACACAGGCTGGGAACTTGTAAACTTCTACCTTCTGGACAAACGCGCGCTTGCAGGTTCCCAGGCGGGTTTATCCCAGCACCAGCCCCTACCGTTATCAAATTCACAGCGCGCACGAAGAAACGCAACTCTGAGTCCTCTCGGCAACAAGTCCACGCACGTATCCAGCAACCTCCTCACATACTCCCACAAGTCCTGAAGCCGCCTGCACGGGGCATGGTGTGGGGGCCCTCCCTCCCCCCCCATGGCGTTACCAGGGCCTCCACACGGCCTGCGCGGTCGCTATGGCCCGCAGCTGCGGCCTCTGGGCGAGCCGAGACTGCATTCGTGGGACCTCCTTGGGACCCGGCGGCCGGGTTGGCGGTTGAACCGCGGCCGCGGTTAAGGATGATGATGATGATGATGATAATGATGAGAATGATGACGATGAGAATGATGATGAGGAGGAGGAGTCCGGGGTTACCGATGCCCCTGGACTGCGGGCCGGCGCTGGCGGGACCAGCAGGGCCAGGAGGCCGTCCCCGGCGGACACGAGCTGCACCTCGCCGCGCGCCATCACGGACAGCAGCTCGTGCAGCCGCGGGCCCGACAGCTCGGGGTGGCCCGCGGGCAGCGCGCCGCACTGCTGCAGGGGCAGCGGCAGGGCTAAGGGGTTGTTCCCTCCCGGTACAGTGGCGAGCGGTGACGAGGAGGGGCAGGAGGTTGAGAATGAGGCGGCGGCGGAGGAGGATGAGGAGGAGACCCCCCCACCGGCCCCGGAGGGGATGCCCGCCATGGAGTCGGCGAGGTGCGCCAGGAGGCGCGTCCGCACCGCCGCGTGGACGCCCTCGCTCGTGGACAGGAACCGCGTCACCTCGTTCACGCACTCGCTGTAGCCCGCGCGGTAGCGGCCCAGCACGCCCGGGTCTGCTGCGCACAGGGCGGCTGTTGGGTGGTCGGGGACGGGGGGCAGAGAGAGAGGGAGGCAGGGAGGAGGGAGAGATAGGGAGAGGGAGATGAGGATGGAGAGAGAGGAGAGACATCGTTAGCGACGTGCTATGAACCCAGGGATCAAAGTTGGATTCTCGGCCACGGCTGACATCAGTGGCGAGTGATAATGTGGACGGGTTCTGTGTCTCCCCCACTCTCCAACTCCACTTCACCAACCAGCGTGGTGACGTATGATCAAACCATCCCCACGACCGACACCACGTGGGGTTGCCACCATTCAGCAGTGGAGCTGTGCACCGTTACTTTACAAGGGAAGGGATCTGCCAGGGTTACTCCTTGCTGTTTCCCGGCAATAGTAAGGCGGCACGATACGGGTCTGCGCTGACGATTTCACGAAGATGAACAAACCCGCTCCACCAGTCGCTCTGACACAATGCCACCCACAGCAGCGCAAAGCTGTAACGCGCATCGCGACTTGTTACTGTGAAGCAATCGGAGAGGTGATTCCCCAAGCCGGTGTGATGCGTCGCTCTGCGAGTAACGCTTCTTCGTACGATTAAAATCGTGAGCTAACGATCGAGGCTGCCTTGATCGTTCGGATTGCCAGCTTTTGTTCGTCTTCCTAAACGCGTCTCACAATCAGAATCTTTATTTAGATCGGAGGAGAAAATCCGATTCGCTACGAAGCTATTTTTTCTTCGCAGATGTCCAGCAAGGGGCGGGCCAGCAAGTTACAACAGCGAACGACACAAAAGAAACGATATGCGTGCAATGTAGAGCATTGTTCAGCACGACACTCAACATCGTCTGGTTGCCGTGTGCGGCTTACCGCTGATGTGTAGCCGGTGGAGACTTCTTAGATGCTTCACGGTCAACTCCAGGATGTCAGCCTTCTCCAGCTTGGAGTGCCTGGAGCTCTAGAGAGATTTGGGATCGAGGGCAGGGGGATATAAAATGGTTAACACATCGAACAATTTGTAAACGATCAAAGTCAAAACGCAAAGTGTCCCCGAATAGTATGACTCAGGGCACAGGGTCACATTGAAGTCCAGCATTGGTTTAACGCTTGATAGAACAAATATACGATTCCATCATGATCATCATCATCATTAGTGAACCACGTGATGAATTCGCTTCACCGTGGAGTGTGACGCTAACGCCGATAAAAAGCGGGCCCAGCGCACCCCGCGTTACGAGCAATGTTAAACTCTACACACACACGGGGTACATTGTGAGATAGTGGGCATGGTTAGTACAATGGGCAGAATATTCTAAAACAGATCATTTATTACCAAACATAATTTGTTATTGACACTGGTGATTACGGTGGTGAGATGCCAGGCATATAAACACGTATTCAGAAACAGTTCTGTGACATCTACTGCCGCGGGCTGATGCATTGCATTGACACGGCGACGACAATAGTGCACTCGGAATAACGCCGGGTTTAAAAAAAGACGTTGACGACGACGCTGACGACGTTCTCATGGTTATGAGCGAGAACCGGGGAACCCGGAGAGACCTCGACGGCCGAAGGTGACGACACGAGGCAAGCCGAACCCCGCTTAGCAGCGCACAGTGCGGTGAGACCGCGGGGCAAATTATCGCGAATTGATCGGATCGGAGATTTTATATTGCACGATCGCTGCTGTTGTGAAGCGAGTGGGGGTTCGTTTTTGTTGTTTTACTGGAAATCGTGGAAGTGAAGCGATGCATCGCAGTCTGTGTGGCCACGTCGCAGCTGGACATCGCCACCACCGCCACCACCACCGCCACCACCACCACGCCTAGCACTGTCGTCAAGCCCGGAGCTGATTTCACATCGTCTGAGCAAACTCAGCGAACTGGTGCGGCTGGTGTGGCGGTGATGTCGCTGATGTTTCTATCTCTCTCTTTGTCTCTGCGGCTGCAGCGAGGAGAGGTGGTTCAAGACGCCCACCGCATCGCGCGCTTTCAGATGCGCTTCTGCGGCCGTCTGGAACGCGCTCTTCCTTCCGATGTCAGGAAGCCATTGTGGGAGCTAATAACTTTTAAATACTCTAGATTGAAAACACACTTCTTTAGAACTGCGTTTTGTGTTTAACATGTTGCCCTTCCAACCCGCACCTCCGATTGGCACGTACGGCGCGAAAGAAGTCCAACTTACATACGTACACACATACATACAACATATACACACATACAAAGTAATAAGAGGGGAGACTTAGACTCACATCTTTCCTGAGAGTCTCCAGGATGAGGGCTTTGAGTTGATTCAGGCTATCGTTGATCCTCGCCCTCCGTCGCTTCTCCATGATGGGCTTGGTGGACTGCAGACACACAACATTGTACGTCGTCAATAACAACAACAACAACAGTCAACCACCACTTCAGGAGATGAAGCGATGGATCCGTCTCTGACTCGTTACATCGCAGCGCCTGCCAGAGACGGTGACGGCTTGGAGAGGGTGGCCTTCATCCAGCAGTGGATCGATGATTGATAGATTTATCATTGACGATTGGTATGTTGCTGGATGAAGTGCAGTGATCAGAGATGTAGTGTCGATGTATATTGATAAGCGGTGTATCGTTAATTGGCGATCATTAATCAATACAATGGTTATCAATATACTGTGTATCGGTCATTGATGATCAACAATGATCAAACACACTGATTATCGATACACAATCCACTGCTGGGTCAATAGACTGTTGGATGAAGTGCATTGATAATTGATGATGGTTATGCCCAATTCAATAAACGTGCCCGTCAAAGGTTGGGTAGTCGCCCAACGCGAACGCCTTGTCGTGAGTGACGCACAGAGACGTTGCTGAGATGACGCTGGTGGCGGTGAGAGACGAGGCAAGGTTTGCGTGTTTTTTTGTTTGTTGTACGGGTCCTCACTTTTCTGATTTCGCTCGCGGATTTCGGCTTCTGTGGAGAAAAGCCCTCGTCGTCGCAGCTATGATCCGACGGGTCCTGAGTCTCCTCCTCGGGGGAGCTCATCTCGACCTCGAAGTCTTCCGGCATTGTACCCTGACGCTCGTGCGACCACGACCTATGCACCACCACGAGCTCTACACTCCGAGCAGCGCAGCGGCGATAGAAACGCGTGACAGTAGTGGTGATGATTGATGGTGCTGTATCGGAGCTCCTCCCGTCCGTCTGTATTTCGGTGCCAGCAGAGCAATGCCCTCGCTCGATGCCGTCCGAGGTTTTAGCCGGCACGAGTGTAGAGGAATGCGCTGCGAGTCCCAGGCCACTCGGCCACTTTTATACCGAGGCCCCGCCCTGCGCCTTCCATTCCACTGCGGGCTTCTCTACCCCCCACAACCCCCAGTGCCTCCCCCCCCCCCCCACGCGTGTCCAGGTCCCCTTGTCCCGCAAAACCCGCACGCTCCATCCCCCACGTGATGACGACCCGGTTTCCATTTCACCCCGCCCCGAACCCTTCCTATGCCCCAGGTCTTTCTTCGACGGTTCGACCCCCCCCATCCCCCCTATAGATATCCACCAGCAGTGTCCCCCACGTGTCTCCACTTGCACGTTACCACCAGCACCTCCCCCCCCCCCATTATTAAGCTGCAGTGTCAACCCGTGTCTCCACCGCTCATGCATCGCCCTGATTGCTCCGCTCGACTCGGCTCGTCTTAACCCAGGAAAGCCTCGCGTTGTTTTACAGATGAGATATCCTGCAATGTGCTTTTTCGCTTTCAGGTGACCACGATTGATGTGTAGGTTACAGCCTTGGGGCACCCCCAATGGGAGTTGCCCCTGTGCATTAGTCTGCCAGTAGCGGGAGGCGATGTTGCTATGCTCTGCGTAATTCCAATTGAATAGTTTGTGGGTAATTGTTCAGCATTGGGACGGCGAGTCAATAGCAGCTCTCCATTTCGTCCCCTATAAGGGGAGCATCGCCTTTCCTCACCCCCCCCCCCCCTGCACACGCAGACACCCGAGTGCCACGTCTCTCCTCTCACAACTCGTCTCTTAACCACGACTCGCAGTGCTTCTGCGAGTTTGCAGCGCCACTGATGATCCTCTCCTATTCCAGACCAGGGGTCGGCAACACGCGGCCCTTTAAGGACCGCTGCTTCGTGACCTCATTTACCAAGGACCCGCACCGTCTCGTATTCACCAGACAGTGCATTACGGCTCTTGAGAAGATTCCGTTTGTTTTGCCGAATTCGAAAATAATGTTTCGTCCTGTTATTTTGTTTGCCGACCCCTGGTCGAGACCACGTCCCACTTCCACCCCACGCTCCCCATACTCCGTGTCTCCCCGTGGCTTCTCCATCCCCAACACGACTCCCGTCTCTTGTGGTCCTGCCTCGCTGGCATGGAGGTCACGGAGCAGACGCAGGTGCCGTGATTTACCATCACATCGCTCTGCTCGTTGCTGTGAGCGTCTGCTGGCCTGTCGTTTGGTGTCGTGGGGCGCACGTGTAGAGGCTGATGCTGGTTCCACCCATAGGTACTGTGGTACCAGTCGTCAGCTAGTACACCGAGCTCCTGGTCATACTCTCCTACATCAGCCCGTGTGCTGGTCTATACACTTACGGACCCATTGGTAAAGCTGCTTGCAATGATGATGTCATTTGAAAAGTGTTCCTTTGTAAACGTATTTTTTTAATTGTAGTTTTCTTAGGGTCGCACAGTGTAAAGTGCCATCTCCATCTATGAGTCGGCCAATCTCTCCTACTCTCAAGACGGGCTATTGTCAGAAACGCCTGCCTAGTGGATCGTGTTGCTGTTTCAAGGTAGTGCTGCGTGGTGAGTAATGTGGTGAGTTTGTTTTCTTGTGTGGGTAGCGGCGATGAGAGAGGGAGGGGTGAAGGGAAAATCAAAGTAGCTTTGAAGCCAAGGAGATGGCACCTACATCTCACCTCCTTCTCATCCCCCTCCTTCCCCTCCTCCAGCCTCACCCCTCCCCCCAACCTCCCTTTATCGATCAAAAGAAGCACAATACTTGCTCGGGTATTCGGCACTTTGCTTCGCTCATCGCGTCATTTTTTTGGTGTTGAATTGTTCGCTTTTACGGCCTTTTTAACAAGAAAACGCACACCCCATTGCGTACTACTGTGTTCACAGACGCAACGACAACAACTTTAAAAACTCTTTATTAAATCCTCTCCGTCAGTCATATCACACAGAGCACCCTCTGTAGCCCAACGCGACAAACATTATGGAACTCTCCTGCTACCTCTTCCCTCCTATCCTCCTCACTTCTCCTTATCCCTCCTCCTCCTCCATGCTATCCCCTCCTCCCTCTTCCTCTCTCCCCGTCCACCCTCGGCGTGTCTCTCTTGAGGGATGGACAACGCCTCTCTCCGCATCTCCCACAAAGCGACGCTACCTCCGGGCCGGTGACTCGTGGGCGGGTGCTGGACGTCACTGGTTTGGGAGACGTGGACGCACGTGCTTGAGAATGATAACTCAAAGTCCACTCGGGAGATTATCGCGCTGAAATGTTAGAATATATTTTAAACGTTTTGTTGCTTAATTGTTTTGTTTTGGTTGTATTACTTGCCGTTTCACACTTAATAATGCGTGTGTGTTTGTGTGGATTCATATTTCTCCACAAACGCAGTTGTTATTGTTATCACTTTAATTACTTAGGACTCTCTTGCAATGAAATCATAATAATTGTTATTTTAGTTTTCAGTTCTTAATCCATCCACTTATGGATGCCTCACCACGCCGTGTCGACCAAGAGGGTTGATTGACCATACTTCACCACGCTGGTCAGTGAGGGCTAGGGTGAAGGTGGGGTGGGGGGAAACTAGTTCAGATATCACTCGCCACTGATGTTAGCCGGCGTCAATCTAATACTTTCGGTCGCATATTGGATGACGAGAGGGACTTCCTGTAACTCTGCCCAGCGAGCCGGACCGTAGGTCACGTGCCAAGGAGACCGCAATGGAATGGTCAGGGGCAGCACGAGGCACACATACACACACACTCGTGAGCGTGGCGAGAAACACTCGCGCAGCAACACTCTCCACAGCGTCACCCCGACGATCGGGTCGCCAAGTGCACTCGTGTTGGGCCCGCTCAGAGCCAGCGGTGGAAATTCCACGTTTCTCGTGGCTGATGCCAGGATTATCATAACACGAGCATTGTTAAATTCCCCCAAAAGTGGTACTCGCTTTATCGGCCCTGGAAACGATGATGGGCTGAGATGTTCCACCGACTATAATTGGTGATTGTTCTTTGCCTTGCATTGGTTCAAGTTCCTCGATTGTCGAGCGAAGCGTGAACTTTAGACGGGACGTCATCGCCCCCTCATGGATCATATGTGAACATACTAATCCATACTCTTTGGTTCTTTCGGTAAAGTCACGTCGGTAGAAAAATAATAAAATAGTATAATAAAACAAAAATAATATTAGTTTTGTTTGAATTTTATTTTATTTTATTATTTTCTACCTACGTGACTTTACCGAAAGAACCAAAGAGTATTGATTCCTGCAGTCACGAAAGCTTCAAATCAATACTAATGCATAACCATGTCGTGGAGAAGACACCACCACAGTATTACTATACAATGTTAGAAAAACAAGTGTGACTGGCTGGCTAGAAGGAGGGATGTCCCGTGCAAGGGTCGTGCGGGTTGCTAGTGAGCAATAAAATATATCAGCAAATAAAATGCGTTGCTTAAGCATCTCAAATGACCGACTGGCAGTAAATATTTTTTGTTCTTACAGAAACTTTGGTTTTAGAGAAACGAACTCGGAACTGGTTTCGCAATTTAGTGTCTCATCAACAGTCGGGCTCGCTTCGACCAATTCCTGTTGCGTCGCTGGCTGACCGCTTCATAGGCGATGACCCCTCTCCATCAGATGTGTGTGCCCCGAGAACGACGCATAACGATGTAATAATGCATCGCACACAATCATCGTTGAATAAAAAAATACAAATGATAAGCGCTGTTTGCGGAGGTAATATTGTTAAAATATTCAAGCGGACAATGTCTTCTGCACATATCCGTCTCTCCATGTAGAAAAAATAAAAAAATATTTCTTACACAGCTCATCAGCTGCACGGCCCTTTTGAGAGTCCATGATTTCAGCTGCGTTGATTCGAGACATAGAAACTCTGGGACATCAAACCGCCATGGGATGGGTCCTTGCCTGAAACATCGGGATTTCACCACCACTGATGCAAGCAAGCCTGGCCTCCTCTGATGAGACACTGCGTGTTAAAACCGCTCCAGGGTTTTGCTCGTCTCGAATCAACGCCGCTGAGGCTTCACACTCAAAAAAAGGCGGCGCGCGGCTGCCGGGATGAATAGACGGTGCTTTAAAAGTGTACGTGGAGAGACAAGGTTATTGTCTGCTTATTCTGGGACAAAAGTCGGATTATTATGAGACGGGGGAATGTGCGATGCATCGGCTCAACGCGCTGACTGTACCACCACTGCCATCTAGTGATCGTGTGCGGAACTAGCTGTAGTAGAACTTCAGTACGGTACGCGTCGTCGCGTGACGAGTGTCTGCTATAGCAGGCGGCCTATGCTGCAGACAAGCAACACGGCACGTTTGTTCAAATATAAAATGTTGCATTACCGGTAACCGAATTAGCGCGGTTGGATACGTACGGTGCGAAAAAACTCCTTTAGCAGGGGAGGAGGGGGGGCTGATTTCTCTTCACTCCCCACGACCCCATCCGACGCGACGGGGCTGGGAATGTAGCAGCAGAAACTTGTGGGACGAGGTCGGGTTGCGAAGGCGGCGTCCTTGAAGATAAATTCGTGCACCGCACTCAGGCGACCACGGCGCGTCGGGCTTTTGTCGAGGCGACTGTCACGTGGTCGGTTCGCGACATCTCTCGCCCCCTTGACTGCGACCCCTCCCCCCCCACCAAGAGGTTCACGTGGACGCAGCGGCGGCCCCGCGACTCACGGGGGTCCACAATGGGCGCGTCGGAGTCGCCCGTGATTGCTGCACTCGACTCGAGTGGCGTGAGTTAGTGGTCTCAGCCTGGTCATCCGGTGACTGCTTACAAATATAGACGAAGACCCCCCGTATAGACTTTACAGACTTTTGGGGAAAGTGCTTGAGGGAGTGGGTGGCCAGGACCACGCCCCGGCCGCATTTGTCTCTCTAGTGGCGATGATTACATACCGCACGAGGTACTTATTTGAGGCTAAGCCGACCTTGTGGAGGTCCAGGACAGGTTCAGTAAATCGTCACTGATGTTGGTGGCTGGGAGTGGGAATCGACCTCGGGTCACCGGGTTCGAAGCTGA